CCTTCCATAAAGACGGTCACTGTGACCGCCTCCGGAAGGGGATTTGCTGCCATCCCGGTTCTTGGAAATAGTCCACCAATTCCTTGTTGCCCTGTCGAGCGGCAAGGAACGCGCTTGCACACGATATGCCTGGTCAGGCGGCGAGAACACTCGTGATAGCTGCAATTTCAGCCCCGCCCAGGAGGAAACACAGCGCCGACCAAAGTGCCGCACTTCGGTGTCCGTTCTCGCACTCGACCGCCGAGCTTTGAGATGGCTAGCGCCACGCGCTGTTTCTCGGTCTGGTGCATGGAGGATGCGATGACCATCTCGACCTCTCTCACCCAGAGCAGGATATTCTCTCCATCCTTCCCCTCGAATACCTTAACGCACACCATGAGCGGCTTAGGGCGAGGGAAATCATCCGTCACTGACGGTGGCGTCATAGACGCAAATGACGCAGACATCTTCTGCTGCAGAAGCTCTAACAGCGGGTTTTTGTAATTTGAAAACGCCTCTAGACGCGCACCGATTGCCTCGGGACCTTGCGCAGCAAGGTGTTGCACGCCTTCAGGACTAAGCAAGGACATCAGCTTGTTAAGCCCTTCCTGCATGCCCTGGGACAAAGAGGAAAATTGTACCATAATCACCGAGGATCAGTCGTAACGACTCAGGTGTAGATTGACAACAAGTGCTACCAAGTGCAGCGGAGCTGCCGTAGCTTTGCGCTCAGAAAAGCGTTAGTTAGGTCCCCGACCTTTCGTTCCATACTCAGAACAAGTACGAGTTTAGCGGATCGCAACTCCAAGAGTGATTACAACCTTAACCCAAGGCTCGAAAACTCTTCTGTTTAAAATTCAAAACTGAAATTATTTATTTTTATCTACGACAAAGCCGCCTAATTATATATGCATAGATTTTCCTAAATATGTATAGTAAAATCTCAATACATGTATAAGTACTGGCTATCCAGCCCCGTACGGTATTCTTGTTTGGGTGTGACCACACCATGCCCATCTGGTGTGACACACACCCCTGTAACCAGGGTACGAGTAACCCAACCTGGTAAATTTATAACGACTGCTTGTTGTTTAAGTGTAGCCACACCATTGTGTGGTCACACCATGTTGTGTGACACACACCCTTAATACCAGCGCATGTGAATCCCCATTACATCCGATCTGGCTTGAAAAGGCATGGGGATGTTGGTTCTGGCCAGGCATGCTGTAGCGATCCAGCCATCGTGTCACTCGGCTTTTCTCCTTTGGCTTTTGAGCCCTCGATCGTGAAAGCGGAGCCGCCACAACTTAATCCTTAGGCTAATCTGAATCAGTGGTCTATGTAAAACTTATTATTGTAATATAGACATATAGCTGCAATTTCGTTCTTCAACAGTTTTCAGTGGCATCAGCTCAACATAGACAGCAACGATAGCCGGCCTGGATCAATATGACATTGTCATATTGGCAACAAATTTAGATGTGCAGACAATTTTCCGTTACGGTGACTAAATTTTACAGTTTGATGCGCCTGCAAAATTTTGTGACAATTTGACCTGGGTACTTGAGGTTTGGACGACACGTGACCATTTGTACTGTACAATCTGCATGCCATCCATAAAGATTTGAATGGTTAATTTGATGGCTTAACAGCGCACGATCTACACGCTCGGGAAAGCAATACACAATGACAGTCATAAAATTATATAACAGCTAAAAGTTTCTATAATTCCTATCAAATCCCACTAGATTTGTACAATTTCTATTTAACTTATAAAATTCTACCAAATAATTTCTCACTTTTGGACATGCACGCACACAGATTACAAGCTCCATACGAAAGCTGTGTCAATCAAATTCGTAACACGAATCCATAGCAGTGAGCACATTCATTTGTATTTCCAAGTAAAACATTCTTCTTCTTAATAGTTGCGACGCAAAGTCGATCGGAAGGGGGGTAGCACCATAACCAACGAGGCATTCAATTGGAAAAGTTTTGGCAGAGCTGCTCGACGAATCAAGATATGCTTGATTATTTCGTCGTGGCGTGATATGTGTCGGCGTGGGGTTGTACAAGACATGGGCAAACGCTTTTCCTCTGTTTTGAAGTCCCTCGGGAAAAGGATCGAGTAAAGCTTTTCCATCTACATACAGCAGTTCGGGTACATCGTTGCTTACAGGCATATACTGCGCGAGACTTCCACACAGCGTATTTGGGTGGTTCTTCATATCATCATTACGCGATGAATCAATGACACTAGGCCCATACGGTGAGAAGAAAAGCTCCTGTTTTGCCAATGTATAGGCAATCCAGTATACGTTATGGCCATCGAATGAAGGTTCAGGCTCAAACCTTTGCTTCGTAATGAGCCAAAAAAGTGTTTTCATTGCTTGACCCGATCGAGCTTTGTTCACGGCCACCATTGACGAGGTTTGTGTGTGTAGGGATTCGTTATTGTACGCATAGCTGAGTTCTGTACGCACTATTCGGTCACTCAGTTTGGATCCAGTAAAGTTAAACTCCGCATGTAATTTCTTCAAGTATGACATGTTTTTCGAGGAATTTAACCACTCGATATTCCACACATCACGACCATGAAAGAACGTTGTACCCGTTCTTTGATACCCATCTGTATCTCTCAAAATCGCAGGATCTCGTTGAAAAATCGTCTCTACATTCAAAAGTAACACCTCGTTGATATTCGTATGATAAAGAGCCAACGAGTTGAGCCACCCATCTCGAAATTTGCTCGCCATTTCGTGCTTGATGACACCACGGTCAACGAAATCGGTACAGACATCAATCACCTCAAGTCGAGCGTCCGTATGCAACATTAACTCGCGACTTTTATCGGACAACTCATCCTGAAAACAATGATAGACTTGGATAAGCTCTTGATTTCCAAGACATCGCAATTCTCGGATCAATGACAGTCCCAAAGGCACTGCAGCGTTGTTCATACACATGACAATGCCTTTATCACGAGCATCTGAAGCGTCAAATGCCGTTACAATTGGCAATTTATTTTGCTTGTGAGTTTTTGAATTGGAAGAAGGAACGGATGGAGATTCGGAAGGGCTGAAGACGCTTGAAAAAACCATCAATAGTAGTATCGCCATCATGCATAGAACGAAGAGCAAATTTGAATAGGATACTATTTGATTATGACTTCGAGTAAAAGGTGAAGTGTTAGGAAATCGATCCGAGAACATGCTGCCATATCGATTCAGAACCGAGATATCCTTCGGCATATTGCACAAATTGTGGAATGGTCGTTTTGAAAATAATTCGACTGTTCGCGCTTTTCTAATTTATCATCATTAGTCTAATTTAGAGGTATGAAATTTGCTTTTTGTAATAATTTATTTTAAAAAGATATCAAATTTGGAAGTTGCCTGTTCAGTAACCAGATTATCGTGTTAATGCTCAAGTCTCGATCCTCGCTGCCTACGGGAGCAGCTACCTCACCACGAAACGATCTTGAAGCAGGAAAAGCTCATGTGTCATCCTTAAAGTCTGTGAAAGTTATTCAACCGCTTTGGTGTCGTGCTGGACTCTTTTTGGTTTACTGCATCGCTATTGTGTCCATACCTAGTCTGCTAATGTCCAGATTAGCTACTCGACCGCTAGCCTTTCACGCGCGTAGCATCTTTTTTGATCATAAAGTTGCACGTAATAAGGCTATTATACTGTGTATGCATGACAGTGTTGTACCCATGGGCCTATCACTCGTTCGAGAGTTGCGATGTATGGGTAACCAGGAACTCATTCAAGTGTATCATTGTTTTCCAGACGAATTGTCACTCAAGTCCCAAGAAATGCTCTTTGCTGCTGATGTACGACTAGAAATTGTCGATGTGTGCTCAGACTTGGTACATCGTGGTACTTTGAATGAAGAGAAGGCAAAGCACTTTCGCAGTTGGTGGATCAAACCCTTGGCACTCTACCATTCAAATGTACGCGAAGTGATGCTTTTAGATGTCGATGACATTTTTATGCGTGATCCTGCAGTCTTGAGAACAACAGATGGGTACAATAAGACAGGTACTACGTTTTTCTATGATCGAGTGATACCAGGAGATCATTTCTTTAACTTTAAGGTAGAACCGAATGTCTCGTACTTGGAGACGTTGTTATACAACTTTGACTACGTTAGCATTAATGTGAAGGACGGGTACGAGCCGAGCAAACATCTGGAGCAGTCTTTCGCTTATCGAGGCGAAACAGAACATGAGCAAGATTCGTCTGTTGTTGTCGTAAATAAAGCACGGGCTGGTAAAGCTATGGAAGCATTATGGTGGCTCATTACTGAAGAACGATTTCATCACTCGTTTTCATACGGTGACAAAGAGGCATTCTGGCTATCTTTTGAACTTGCCAAGCAAAAGTATTTCTTCTCTCCATGGGGAGTGAGTGTCATTGATTCGTCAACAAATCGAGATTTGGTGACTCATAATGACTCGCTTTGTGGTAGTATTGCCCACTTTATGCCAGTCGAAAACGAAGTTGCCGAGTTACTGTATGTCAATGGCAAGGCGTTACTTGATCCGTTTGCAGAAGGACTCACGAGTCATCATACAGCGACAACGAATGTGCTGTATAATATGAATCCAACTTACGTCACACCACGTCAAAAACGTGCTCCAAATGGTAAGACCAAAACAGAATTTCGAGGTGGTTGGCCAAATGAATGTCTGCGTGGCTTTGGTGCGACTCCACTACCTGAAAACTTTGCCCCAAATTTACTACGTCGACGGAGGTTTTACATGGGTGCTCGCATGAACGTACCTGGAGCGCTGGAAGCCTGTTAATTCTGAAGTTTGAAAACTTCAAACATGAATGTTAAGAATCCCATCCACTTTTTTATTGAATACAATTTTGTTTGATTGTACGAAATTTCATTACACTTTTGTATGAATGTAAATGTTTTCATATGGTCTCAATAAAGGAAATTGTGGTTACGTCAATCACTAACGACATTGATATAGTAAAACGTATATAATTCTTATATATATACATTGAAATAGCACAAACATGACACCTAGTCATGTTTCCTCCTTTCTGGTTGGTGCGTACGAATCCAACCATTACAAATTTCCTGACGCGGACACTGAGAGTCAAAGCTTTTATGAGCAAAGGCACGGCGACTCCGTTGCATTTAGTAGCACTTGTAGTCAATCCCACGACCGACTTGTAAAGAAATTGCATTTCTGGGGATATAATATAAAATGTTCAAGCACCGATTCAACAGACGAATGGACCAGATTCAATACTCTGTGATTATTGTTGGTACCGATGGGATCGGAAAGTGGTGGCCAAATGATCAGACGCGGTGATTGCTCGCCTGGAAAGCTTGATTACATTGGCGCCGTTATCATTTCGACCTGGCGCATCCTCTGCTTTCATCATCTTTGAATAGATGTAGGGTCGTCTGCCACTGATCTTTTATACATATAATTTAGAGGCCGATTTTGTGGAGAGAACGACACATGGTTGGTGCTGGAACAGCTGTCCCATTGGTACAAGCGCTGCTGTAAACAGAACAAAGGAAAGATAAGGTGACGATTTTCCACCTCGAGATCCGTGCTGAGCTTTCCAATGCGAAGTATTAACCAATGCTCCAGATAGACCTCTGCTTAACTAAAGCCGGCCTGCTAAGTCTTAGGGCGACTTCTGGCCTGACGCGCAATCTACGGACGCTATGCTTTGAGATCATCATCGGCATTTCATAGCCAAAGTACTTTATTAAGTTGGTATGGGTTGATGTTACGGCTGCTGCTCAAAGCAAAGACAGTATTCTTTAATGCTATGACATGAAGGAAAGTGTTTGTGAAGCGAGTTCCGGGTTTCGTTTCGCTTTCTGTGTGAGCTGAGTTGAATAGACGTGTACAAGCTCTGCCATAGCGCGGCACAAATATGCACAAGGTCCAAACAATAATTTTGACGTGATACTTTGGTCGAGAGGCTTGCACTTGCTGGGATCCCTGAGGCAGGCCCCGTTTGCTAAAGACAAACCAGGAATTGTCGTGATATTACCGGGGGGTTGTTATAAAACTTATCTATGGTGGAAAAGGACAAGGAGTATCTTATTTGTGCAGAGTGAAGCCTCAGTGCAGTCAGCACTTCGTCCTCGGTGAAAGACCTGAACGTGTGTCGACGAATGAGAGCGGAGGTTTTGGTCCGGCCTCAAAACACAGCGACTTGTTTCTTCGCTGAAGTCCTCAGCATCGTCAGTACGTATTTTAGAAGCAATGTTGCAAAGCCTGCGCATTAGGTAGGCCTGCTATGCCATTTGTTTGAGTACGCGGGAAGAAGCTTCCATTGTAAGTATGTTCTGAGGAGCAGGTATGTTCAGTGTAAAAAGTGAAGCTAGACTCCAAGTGCAGTGTTCTCTCGCTGCGTGGTTGCATTTCCGCAATCTCTTTAATGAACAAAGAGTAATGGGGAAGTAACGTAGTCAGTATTATAATTATTTGTACTTATCCCAAACTTTTTGGTACATTTCAATCAAATAAATGTTGTACAATTGTCCAAAGTCTACGTTCTTGTTTTCTGTAATCGTGGATATTTATATAAATCTCAGGATATCGAAACTAATGAAGATGTTCAAAAATAAGGTGTATGTAGGCTGCTAACCTCCAAGTAAAGCAGATAGTTTTTTATGCGATACAATATTATGTATTCGAAATGAACTCAAAATATATCTTGGATTAGCGAGGCGAACAAACGATTAAATTTTTCTGAGAGGCTCTCAGCTTCTGCAACATAGTATATATCAAGTGCTTATCTTCCACGTCTAATACAAAGGTATAAAATATTTTTTTTGTACAATAGTGCAGAATTCTTGCTTTGCGTTTTAGTTATTGTGATTATTCATAAATACTGAAGTATCGGCATTTAGGAGATGATGGGCGCTGCATTGAAGGTGCTCGTTGCACGTAGAGACACATCAGAGACTTACTTTCTATCGGACTAAGTAGCATTAATCACTCCCATATATACACATGAAAATTTAGAGTTTGGTAGACACCGTTTCATGGCAAAGGCTCACGGTTTCGCTCCTGGAAGGTGCGCAATAATCCGACCTATATGCATTTGTAAGCACCGGCTTTTGAAATAGAATATTTATCTATGCAAGGTGACCTGCAACCGGCGCTCTTAACTGCAACAATCCGAATAGATGAGTTTCCAATATGACATCGACATCATGCTTTGCACTTTGCATGAAAAGACGCTCCAGTCGGACATGTATGCTTCACTAAAGCTGGCTCTTTATATTGACAAGCGGGTATGGTGTAACATAGCAGTCCTAATAGGAAAACAAAATCAGGGTCTTCCCATGAATATTGCAGTAAGGCGTTCATTACGAGGGCCGCGCCTTTCTTGTAGGTGCATTGAGCAAGGAAGGTTCCGTCCGTGAGAGAGGGGACTATTACGCGGGCATGCACCTAAAAGAAGTCATTGTACTGCTCATGTGATGGAATATTACTGGGTTCTTGTCGTTGCGCCTACTTTTGCGCTGTCTCAAAAGCAAAAAAAGTCTGGGCTGCAGAGTAGTTCAAATTGTTGTGGACACGGTGTAGAGGCGTACGAACACGCCATACTACCTAGAAAAACAGAAACACATGTACTGATGAAGATGAAAGGAATCCGCAAAGGAGAGGTTCGTGATATACTTGGGCGGCTGAATTACATAATGTATTGCATGAATATATATTGCTCAACAAAATAATTAAATGTGTTGGGTATCAGTAAAATGCTCGAATAGGCCTTTTCAAATGTCATTCTTAAAAAAAACGAGCAAATTACATAGATGTATTGGTCCGATCCCGGGTAATGCGTACAGCCGATGTCTTTGCGCGACTTGATAAGGACGCATTGTGCAGCAGGGCTGCCGTAGCGTTTTGCTCAGAGGAACCTGACTAAGGTCACCGACCTTACGTTCCTGAACAAGTGCGAGTGTAGCAGATCACGACCCGATTCCTCCAAGAGTACCCGAAACATTAACCATGGCAATTTAACTCTTCTGTTCAAAAATAAAACTGCGGCAGAGCCGCCTATACCCAAAACCTTATTAATATGCCTAACGATTGCACGTAGTGCCTTCTTGTTACGGTGTACCCACACCATTGTTTGATTACACTGTCTTATGTAATCCACAGCTATGTACGGTCACACCATCTTGTGTGACCCGCCCTTTCATACAAGAGGTGCGTGTAACTCGTTAAACTTCCATTGTAAATACCCACAATTTACATATAACTGTCGCCTTATACGAGGCTCGCGTGTCTAAGACACCGTTACGTTCTATGAGCATCTTTTGACATTCTCCGTTCAATGAGACCTGTGTCTATGAGACGAAAAATTCCCAGCCTGGCTGGTTCCGAAGCCGCCCGCGTGCAGAGTCCTTCTCCGTCTTCTGCACGTGGTGAACCTTTGGATAGTACGTCCGCGGCTCCCGGGATCACATCGCAAGCCATCGACAACCGAGCGCTACACACACCGCCTGCCACGTGCGACGGATTTCCTCGTCAAGGATTTGGAGGAAGACGACTACGAGTCAGATACTATTTTCCCAGCATAGGAAGACAAGTAAGGCGAGGTGCGCCAACGACGCGACGTGAGCCCTGCCCGAACCAAGTGGACACCGTGTCCGTTCCCCGACCTCTCGACATACGGGGAAAGTGATATTATTTTAAATCGCCTCGACGATGCAGTTGGAGGCGTCTCTCATGCGCTCGTATCCATGTTTGGTCTCAGACTCTCGTGTGGAAAACGGCTTACACTCGGCGGATCTCGCTGTGGAAGCGAAGAACGTGGTGATCGTTAGGCGTCTAAGTAGTCATGCCCCCAGCCACTACACATGCTGAGCTTGACCAGCGGAAAGATCTCCGAGCTCGTATCGTGGTACCTCAAGAAATGCCAAAGGATAGATACCGCGCTCGACTTCAAGCTCAAAGAGGAGGTGCCCCTGTACCCGCACTGCGGACAATTCCTATGGTGCTCGCCTCTGGCGAAACCGCTGCAGATGATGAAGAGCTCTTTGAGCGATGGGTGCAGCGGCACCGAAACTTTTCTAGCTGTCTCACTTACATTGGAGATACAAGGAAGTGGACGTCTTAGATTTGAGTTTGCCAAGCTCAAGGCGCAACGCCGATTTTCTGCTTATTGCCACCCTACGACATATGGATGCATCCATGACGCTGCCGCGAGCGTTATAGTTTTAACGGGTGAGTTTACGACCACAGCAGTCCAGGGCCATACCTTGTGCGCAGCTCATGACCCTCCGGCTTCCCGGGCTGCCGCCGACAAGCGCGCGGCGCGCGGCGCACGACGACACGAAGCGTCGTGACTCTTCTCATCAAAAGCGTTCACGATGTCTGGGCAGTCTTGCTGAAGCGACATCCCAAACTCCCACGAGTTCTTAGAGTCAGGGTATCCTCGCCACTTCACAAGTTGGTGAGTTCCGCCCTGTCGGCGACGTCGACTATCAAGGCGTTTCACGGGATAATGGACGCCACAAATCTCAGCGAGAAGAGTCGGCGACAAGCGATGCTCTTCGAGCTCTTGAGGAATGTCTGTCGCCATTGGGGCTCTGCCGAGCATCTTTCCGTGATCGCCTATCCCTGTGCAATTCGAGAACCTGAAGCACTTAATGCACCGATTGCATCACGTTGAAGATTATCGCGCTCTGTTGGAGCGGCTCCTACCCGTCGAGCAGACAAATACATCAATTCGTGCGACGGTGAAATGCCTTGTGCCGTTGGAAACGAGAATTCTTGTACTCCATGCCCAGAACCAGTTACTGATT